GCAGTTATCTGCCTTTGAATAGCTGTAGTGCCAGGTTTGTGATGTCTGCAATAGTCTCAGGTACAGTATATGGATTTCATTCTCCTTCCATGTTCATTTATGGTTTTGTGTCTGAACGTAGCATAAACTCTGTAGATATTCACTAACCCTGTGTGATTGAGGGAGTAATTTTGCATTGACATTTGTCCTTACCATGAGGCTCAGTTTCATTGCATTCAATCTCAGTTTTTTTTTTAAATTTGAGTGCACAGTAGGCTTTGTCAGTCACTGCTCAGCACTGTAACAAAGAGACATCTAACACTAACCTCTTCTCTGTGTGTTCGGTGAGTTTGAGAGTCAATTTACATTTGTCCATATCTGGAAATCTGTGTAAAGCTAATTTTCATTATTTTCCTTTCATCATTCAATGACTGATTTTGAGCGAGTTTTCTTGCATGCTTCTGGTCCGTATAACTTTAAAGACTGGTACTGATCCGTGTCACACTGACTGTTTCTGTATGTCTCCTTGTGTTTCTAGCTCTGCATGCCATGATCTGATACTCTTCATGAGATGTGATTAATGTACTGTAAATCAGTTTTTTATACATAGAGAAAGCATGGATGTGCTTCTGCAAGAGTCAGTCTCTCGACCAGAGCGTGAGCATGGGTCAAGTGAGTTTTCATCAGTACCGGGCTGATAGTGAACATGGAGTTTATTCAGTCTCTGGCATGAAATGTCAATCTGCTCCTCATTATTTGTCATTGTATTTCACAGTGCAGGAGTATCATTTTAAAATGAGCATGTCACTTTTGGAAGTTGCCAGAGTTTGTTCGAATTTTCTAATCTCTGCTGCTCGACACGAATGAGTCTTTATCTAATGCCATCGGTGTCAGGACCTGTAAGTGAAGATTGACGCACTCCTCCCTTTGTCAGTCTCTGATCATATCTATATTTTAGATTGGTCAGCCTCTGGTCTGAATGTGTATTCCAAATTTTGTTCACTGGCATCCAACAGAGGAGAACTTGGAAACTAACATGATTGTGCTCTAGGGAAGGTCGAGAGGAACATCAAGCCCTTTGTAAAAATTTGAAAAAAATTTTGAAAGAGATACACAATGTTTCTTGCTGGACTGAAGAAAAAACAAAGAAAGAAATGTTAACTCCTGTAATGTGAAGAAATGGAGAATAACGAACAAAAACAAAGTGCTGGAAAAGCTCGGCAGATCTGGCAGCATCTGTGAAGGAGAAAACAGAATTAATGTTTCGGGTCCGGTTCTGAGGAAGGGTGCTGCCAGACCTGCTGATCTTTTCCAGCACTTTGTTTTTGTTCCTGATATACAGCATCTTTTGGATTTTAAATGGAGAATAATTTCATGACAAGGATGAGGATAACAGTTCCTCTGCAGCCTCGATACATTCACGGAAATAGAATGTTGGCTGGGATTAATGTTGTTAGCTGTTTTTTTGATTGGTACAGATCCAGTGGGCTGAAGGGCCTTTTTCTGTGCTGTAGACCTCAATAACTTGAGGTTGTTAGTGGAGATCATTTTGAATGTATCATTTTCTATGATTTGCAGTGTATACAGAACAATTTGTTTGTTCCACGTTGTAACATGCATCTTCGGGCAGTGACTGAGAGTGAGAGGGGGAGAATTATTCATCAAATGATTAATTCTGTCCTTCTCAGTTACTGATAAACTTCATATAAACATGTTTCATCCACTTTTGTCCTCTCAGTGTGCAGTTTCTTCCCATTTCTGTACTTAACATCTCGCTGAGGTATGGCTGTTGAAACTATGTTACAGCATGATCTGTTTGTTTGTCTTGATTGTAACTTTGAAAATGCCCTATTCAATGAAGATTTAATGCTGTTCCTGAGTGTCTATTTCGGATGACCATTCAGTCTATCCATCTTCAAAACCAATGTCAATGTCAAAGGGCTACATACCTGCTGTTTGTTAGAAGCAGCTGGTCACACTTGGCTTTGTACCAAGGAAATATAATAACATCCTGGTCCTTCAAGTATTTACCTGCAGGAAGACAGAAGACACACCTCCTGTAAATCAACATACAGAAAGTTTGGCAATATTGAACTAATCAACATAACATTAAGTTCATAATCATTAGGATGTGTTTTTTTTTTAAACGAGCAATTTGAACAGAACCAGAGGTCTTATTCCCTGTTGCCCAGAGCTGCTCCTTGTCTGACGATTCTAACTTTTTTTTTTCTGAAATAATTCGATACCAACTGAG